ATTCCTCGTTCTTTTGTTTATTCATTTATATCATTCTTTTTCTCTCAATCGCCTCACGATGATAACGATAACTATTTTCATCGTTCTCATCGCGGCGATCGTGACGTGTAACAACCTGCAGTAATACCGTACTTTATACTCACGTATAAACGCGAATTCCCCGTTCCTTTATTTATTTTTTTACATCTTTTTCCGATCGCCTCGCGACTATAACGGTAACTATTTTCGCCGTTCTTATCGTGGCGATCTTGACGTGAAGCAATTTGCAATAATGCTTTATCTTATACTTGCATACTACGAATACGAATTCCTCGTTTTTCATTTATTTATTTATTTATTTATATCTTCCTTTCTCTCTTGATCGTCTCACAACGATAACGGTAATTATTTTCGCCATTCTTATCGCGGCGATCTTGACTGGGGCAACCTATAATAAAGCCTTATCCGATCACTGCTCATGATAATCACAATGATCGTAAGATTCAGTCTGCGAATAAAGCGGGGCTTTACAGTAATATCACGCGATGACTCTTAATTGCGTCGCGATCACATTTTCGCGATGTACCATTCAACACTAAATTAGTTAGTAAAAATGTCGTCAGATCACCGAAAGATACTCATTGTGCAACGATATCGGTATAATTCGTGCAATTTGTACATCAATCTTATAAACGAGTAATGTTATTTAATATTAAGTAATGTTTTGGGCATATTCTTAGAATATTAGATGTAACATTCTAATAATATTCTAGTGATATTATTTAACATTAAGTAATACTTCTGGAATATTAATTATAATTATATGTTCACTCCTAATAATATTAAAAAAATAATATTATTTAATGTTACTGTAATATTAAATATTTTTTAAATATTCAACTCTATATGTTATTTATATATATTTATATATATTATTTATATATTATTTATATAATATTCTAGGAATATTTTACGCGTTTATAGGGTAGCTTACAATGTTTCGCACGCTCGTAAAGTGAATCTCCGTTCTCGCGATACGACTTCCGCGAATACGTGCATCGGCTAATTGCAATTTGCGCGGATGCACAATCGAGAATCTCGCACTGAGAGTCCACGATCGGCAGCCTGTGAGAGCCGCTGCACGTATAAGCGGAATCGGGCGCATAGCAACTCGCTGTTCTGCGCGCCGGATCTCGAGTAAGCCGATATTGCTCAACAGGTTATTCCCTGCGCGCTTTTCTAAATGATGAGCTGGCTACGTCATTTATCTACTTACTACCGGTGGTTCTCAAGCACCGATGCCACGATGATCCCTAAGAAATCACTGTCGATGAAACAGTTCCACCTTGCGATCCGTGGTGGAATCTGCGCACAGCTCGTTTCCTATCTTTTATATATTTTTCATCGTATTTCATTATATCGTGTTTTCCTTTTTTTCCTTTATATTTATTTCTTTACTATTCTGCTGCGATCTTCTGAGACCTTTCGTCAATCTGTTCAAGACAAAGTGTATGAGAGGTACTGCCGGGGAAATAGTATTTCCACCTTCATGTTCGCCTAATAATATCTCGGCGTTGTCGAACATTGCGCACATCCCTTGGATTCATCCGCGCGCGCACATCACGTTTTAAAGCTCCTTGCGTCAGTAGCGTCTGACTGCGTTCTTTCTGAATCTAGTGCAGCGTGACTGGTGCTGGATTCGATCGACCGCGTACTAACGAGTGTATAGCCGTTATTATCGCACCACTCAACGATTGCATTATAAAAAAAGTTGTAACAAATAGAAATAGAGTCAGAGAGAAGATAATAATACCGTCCTTGTGCGTATACTTAATTTTAAAAATAATTTACAATCTAAATATCTAATGCTAACAATCTAAGTATCTAATGCTAAGAAGATGTCCCCACAAGTGGTATCTTAGACAGCTAATTCTCTAAAAAGCGTCTTAAAGTCGTCTAAGAGATGTCCTTCTTTTGTAGACGTCTTTTAGGCAGGCATCTTTATGAACGGTAATCGTGCAATAAGATATTTAAGATCTATATCTAGATCTTTAATATTTATTTATTTTATGTAAAATCTTATATTTGAGATCTATCTTCATCTTTTAAATATATTAGAGATTTTATATATATGATCTGTCTTCATTATAAATATATTTAAGATCGTATATTTTTAGAATCTTTCTTAATCTTAAATATATTTAAAATCTGTCTTGCAATCTTTCTGATTTCATCTTAAGATACTTAACTATGTGTCCAATAAAACGTGTACACCGTTTTCATTTGCGTTCGCAAGACCACGCTTAAACTTGGCAAACCAATTTTCAACCATTGAAAACGAAGGAGCCAACTCCGAAAGTGTCGAATCCAACTCTGCTCCGATTTCGGTTGATGTTAAACCTTTCAAATGAAAATCATTATATCTGCTGCTCGCAACTCAGTTTTCTCCATTCTCTACAAACTTATTTACGGCGTTTACTTTGGCTTCGGTTTGTTAAATAAAAACGATAGATCGCATTACACTATCATATTTAATCTAACCAAAGAAGGTACTGAAATATGGTGCTGAAAATTTGGCGGGACTCGCGACATCTCTGTATTAGGCTACGTACTTTTTGAACGTTCCTCGGTACATAAACTTACGAAATATTCGAAACAACAGCTTACGAAATACTTGTAACATTCACTTTAATGCAGTATGTATCTCTCTGCGTGCGCTTTCCTTTCGTTCGAACGGCCAATAAACAGCCGTAGAATTAACGCGAATCAAAATCATGAGGAAAAATACACCAAGAGGGAAGATGAATAAAATAAATAAAAAAATCAGACAATGGATGGATAACATTAAAGACAAGAAATAAAATCGCTGCGCACAGCGATACGTTAAAGGTGACGAGATTTTCGTTACAAATAAGAGAATAAGGAGGCGAGAGCCTTAACATCGTTCTTTTCACGCGTGCTTAACAGCAGGATAATGGACCACCGCGCAGCTTGATACCGAAGACGAGAGGTGACGCGCAGATGAAGAGATAAAAAACGACTCGGCCGCCTTCGAGAGTCCTCCGTGCGAATCTGCTCCCCTGATAAGCGAACTCACCGTGCGCGTCGCGTGACACTACGTTCGCAATTGACGCGCTGCATCACACACGGTCTCACGTCTCATTAGCGGTCTCATGCGCCCGTTATAATTCGTCGTTAGTTTCGCGCTAAGTGCGCGTCGCTCGACGAAACATCAAGATGGCATCTTTTCTTCGGCGGGTAGCGCTTCGTTTACGATTTTCTCGCTCTCTCCGTAGTAGAAAAGCAACGATTATCGAAACATCGAGTACACCAGATATCCATCGGTGGGCTCGCCGCATATATCCCCCCGAGACAGATGTCTGACGATCGCGGCGGCTACCACCATCGCACGTAGAAAGGAAAAATTCCGCAGGGGGTTGCCGGCTAAGTGAAAAGCGGAAAGCGGCCGAATTGCTTGGTACGTGCGGCGAATGAGAGACGCAGGCATCATATGTGGTGCGAGTGATGCGTCGCGCGAAGAACGTTCTCGCGAGCTGCCGGCGCCCGCCGACGAAGGACGCCCCACGCTTTTTATTTCCTCGTGTATCCCACTCGCGCTTACCGGGTGCAATTATTTACAGCCCCTCGCGCAACTCGGCGGCCGCCCTTCGTCGTCATTGTCACCTTGAGCGGACGCGGCGCCGCGCTGGTACCGGCGCGTCCTCGCGCGGCATGTGCCGCGGACGACGTGCGAAGGAAGGGTTCGGGTATACCGTCAGGCCTTCGAATTGGCGAACCTCGTAGCAAGGCAGCATGCACGACAAGAAAGTGATTCGCAAATCGCATATACATGTATATATATGTATATATACGTTGTCTTTCACGTGGTCTCACCGCCTCGCTCTTGTCCGTGCATGGTCACATGCATGCACACACGTACGCGCGACGATGTTCAAGCGAGCAACCAATCGTGGCGGAATTCCACCGGTCAGGATCCCGTTTGTCGGCCTGATTTCGAGCCCGGCGTTCGAGTCGAAATTTTGCCGCGTTTTGACACTCTTGAGGATACCTCGCGCCTACCTGGATAGCCTGTGGACCGATGAAAACTTGCTCCGTGATGATACCGACACTTGTTAACTACTCTCTTGAGTACTTTTGGTTCTACGGATTTAACTTTGATGCTACCTCTAACGAACTACTTTGACTAAAACAGCGAAGATGGACGTTTAAGACATTATCCCAGGAAAAATGATTGTATATGATTATGTATAATTATGTAAAATCATATGTGAATTTCGCTCATATATGTGGCATACAAAAAAAAATTATGCATCATTTAATTAAATGTCATTTAATTAAATATTCAATTCTATGTATATATATAATATATATAAGTGTAGTTTTTTTATTTCAAATATATTGCAATACCAATTGTTTTATTATATAAATAAAGTTGAAATAATTATGTGTAAAAATACGCTTTATATTTAAAAAATTTATATATATATATCATATATGTATATATATATATTTTTTATTTATATAAATTTTTCTATATTATTACTATTTTATTCTTTTTTTAATATTCTAAGAACATTCCTATAACATTAAAAAATATTACATAACATTCTTAGAACATTATAGGAATAATATTTTAATATTGAATAATATTCATATAATATTCTAGGAATATTATGCGCTTATAGGATATCTATATACACAACCAAATGATTTTTCTCCATATATAGCATTGACCATCTCGTTCTCTCGATGCGTTCGTCTTCCACTGTACGTTTGAAGTCTATTCGCGAATATTATTTTCGACAACGGATACTTGTAGCTCGTTGTATCCCCAGTTCAGACTGTCAACAATTCTCGAAACGCCCCGAGGCAATATAAACATTCGATTAGTAGTCTTCAGACAATCATCGAGTATTCATCCGAGCCGTGTGCACAGAATTCTATTACTAATGTGACCGGGCTGATATCATCGACAAAGCACTCGTGAGGTATATACCAAAATGGACATGGAGAACGAAGTATTTCTGTTCTGTGGAGCGAAAACGTCTCACCATTACAATAAGTTTTTTCATCCGAACCTCTGTCATGTTTGCAAGAGGAGAAGACTAGGGGCCAAGTTGATAAAATGCGACCGGTGCTTCCTAATATCTTATTGCAGCGAGGAGCACAGAAATCTACACTTATCGCAACACCACGAGCTTTGCGTGGCCGCGGAAAAGTTCCTGAAAATGAACTCGGGCTGGTTCAATCGCCGTTTAACTATGAACGAATGGTTGGCCGCACAGAATGCATTTTTGTTGTCGGTCCAACAGACCATACATCGTAAATGCGAGCTATACGAGGAGGAGATGTTCTTATTCGCGAGATCGTGCCTCATTTGCCACAAACAGACTGAACTGTACACCTGCGACTCTTGCTTCTCCGCCGACTATTGCTTGGATCACTTAGAAGAATTCATACAACATCACAAGCAAGTCTGTGATAACTTGATACTGTGGCTCAATCTGGAGTTCACAGATAAGGAAATTAAAAGTGTGATGCCGCTACCGTGGAAATTCATAAGGTTTCCTGACAAGGACAAACCTTTTAATGATATGGTAACCTTCGTCATGCAATATGTAAAGGATGAAACGGACGGATTGAATGAATGGTTCGCCCCGGATTATATCTGTACTGATTACGTGTCAGGACCGCTGACGCTGCATCACGGGATGTGGGAAGCGAACTTGTCGCACTACCTAGAAACCGAATCTATCTATATCATTCATGTCGTAGCCGCGAATTCCACAGATAAAAACGGTTTGCCAGCTTGGGAAATATTGTTACACCTTTTACCCAAGATAAAGGTGTTGATCATCGTAATGATAGGACCAGAATTACAAATGGAGTTTGGTATGCATAACATTTGTCCCGGTTGCAATATTAACGGAAAGAAGTTGATTTACGAATGTTGCCCTATGTTGTATCACGATTACGTAAGCAACGTGATGTACAGGAAACCGAACATAATCGTAGGATTTCAAGCAACATTAAAATGTGGATCGTCATGGCCGAAGAGTATCCAAGCAATGCAGACTCAGAACTGCCCGTTACTTTTAACCGCTTATACGTTAATTGCAGCGAAAGAAGAAATAGATACGGTGCAACAAGTTCTGGGAACAAAACCCGTTCTCTTCGTCACAAATAAATTCAAGGCTCTAAGGCCAATTAGAAGTTTTAATTCTGTAATTTATCGTAATGCATACTTAATCATCTACAAGAAATTATATGAATTTAACCATACATAAGTTTACCAACCTAAGGCAATAAATAGCAAATGCGTATAATTGCATCTCCATTTTGGTGTGGATGATGTACAAAATGGATAGCTTCTGGATGGATAGATTTTCACGAATAAATTGAGAATTTCCTAATGAAGTCGTATAACATTTTTTTTTCAAAAAAAGAAAAAAATATATATGATCATTTAATGATAAGTATATTATTTTTTCTTTAAGTATATAACTTGCTAAAGGTCATACGTATGATAATTCAATAACTGCATTATATTTATTTATATATCATATTTTTATGATTTTTCGCGGAACACAATAGAGTATTGTGCATAATTATTTTGTCCTTGTGAAAAAAGAACAATTCTTATAAATGGAAATTTTTTTCCCTTAACTGAAAATACAAGGAAAACACAAAGACCATATTAAATATTTTTACCAAATAGAGTGTTAAGTTGGCAAATTACGAATGCTTCGTTAAGAAATTCCCGAGACACGCAAAAGTTGCAAACACTTTATTAATGGCTGCGTTCAAGAAACACGCTGATTAAGTGAGCGCACATTGTCATTGAAATATTCCTTTAGATTTATAAATCTTAAATGAATTTTAAAGAATAAAAGGTAATAATCACTCAACGGTTATATAATTATGTTTTCTGAACGCACCCACCTCCTCCCAATATACTTCGAACAATTATCGGGCGAAAATCTATATACTGTGTATAACCAGAATTTTATTAAATAATTATAAAGTAATTTTGTTAATTACACAAAATTACCGACTTTTGTGTATTATTTCTAAATGGATATATTATAAAGTATTCGTAAACGTCATTTATAGAGATGACACATTGATATAGCCGAAACGGACACATATAAATATCGTAGATCACGGCGGAGTCTCGCCATTTTTAAGTTGTTTCATTGTAAACATGCGAAAATATATATAATACAAATATCTTATATGTAAAACTGTAAAATTGTTCAACTTTCATCGTCTCTGTAATAAAAGAAACTTTCATTGAAAATAGAAAATGTGAGATTAAATTTTATTGATCGTGAATTAGATTAATAAATATGAATCTTCAGAGATATATCGTCGGTTTTTGAGATATATGTCTGTTCTCTGAACATTTAGATAGCTGGCGAAATATGAAATACGGGACGCAAAATTACATGTTACGCGCTATTATGTATTATGTGCCAGCGGTGAGTCGCGGCGAAACAATCGTAAGATTCTCACGTCTCCCTGAGAAAGGTGAATTTTTATTAATGCCGATCCGACTCCGCTTTCGTAACGCAACGACTTCTCGGTGAATCTGATCTCCTAGTGACGTCGGCTGGGTAACTTCAGTCAAGTGTGACCATTTGGATGGCGCGTTACTAAAAAGCCACGAATCATCGGAAATATATCCTTATGTTATTTTCGCGTGTCTTGAGTCCAGTTTCTCGTCACATTATCGCGTCAAGTCGTTGTAAACTTACGTGAGTCGGTGCGACACTCGCGACGACTGCAAATAACCGATGCAATCATCTCGTGACAATCGCCACATCTTTGAAACATTCGTCTTTCGAGATGAAATCGTCACGTCGTTAGGTGAGAATGCATTTTAGGATATGTTATGTTCCGCATAAAAATATAAAGTGTAGAGTAATATTGTTTCATATATCGCGTAAAACAATACAGATCGATTGTTTGTTCTGTATATATAGAGAGAGATTTAAATAATTATATTTTATAATCAATAGAATATATAACCTATACAACACACACACATATGTGTGTATACGTGTTCACGTATGGCTGGAATATTATACATCTAGAAACATAATTCATTGATCAATTTTTTATATACTCTGACGTTGAAAGTTTTGCAATTGTTTGGCGGTATGGTTATATACATATATATAATATAGTACTCAGTAAAAATAAGGCTCATTACATAATAGCAATATCACAACGATTGGAGAATTTTACAACGACTCGTCGTTTTTTACGTAACGCCTGTCCGAACATTTCGTTAAATCTACCAAAATTACAAGCTTTTCCCTGAAAAATTTTATATATCGAAACAGGAGAACAGAAACTCACTAAAGTCGCGTGACATCGATCCAAATAATTTCGTGGTCGCCACCTCCATTAAAAAAAAAAGGGGGAGAAAAATCCGAAATTAAATGAAACATCATCGAAGATCGCTCTCTTTGCATTTATACCGCGAACCACCGTGACTTAACGAGTTAAAAGGAAAAAGAATAGGCAGAGGTATTTAGACAACTAATGTCTTACTATATTCTCGCAACATTTGTCGACGAACACATTGCATTAAATGACGGGCATTCGGAGCGTTTGATGTTTCAGGCGCAGCGTTCGTCAACGCACCCCCGACGCGCGTGTTGCGTGTCAAGAAGATAATATCTCAAATATTTTTTAACAAATCGCGTAAGTTCGCACGGCCACACTGTGACGCTCCCTCGATATTGCAAATTTGCAATAAAACAAAAACAAACAAAGATTGATCCGGAAGAACCTCTCGTGGCCGCGCAACAACGGTTATTTCTCGGATCGCGTCTAGACTCGTTCCTTTCTACGACACACAACGGCTATAATAAGAGTAACGCGGTGTTAATAACGGCCTCGGAAAAAAGCCGATTGACAATCAAGTGACAATACATTTCGTCGGCAATCAGGCCAGTATGTTGCTGATGGAGCTCCGTCGGCGGTTCGACCGAGGCATTCGCAGCAGCTGACCCGCACAACTTGAGAGTAGCGAAGTAACAGGGCAGTATATGAGGACAGCGTGTTTCCTTCCGCTCTTAGCCGCTGCCGACAAGGGGAATTCGGTTTCGAGCCGAGCAGTAAGTCTTCCCCCTCAAACGAAAGGTGCAATTTATCACGACTCGCGCGAAAAATCTAACAAGAATCGCATATACACCTCGATAGACCCGCGAGAGATTTTGAATAGAAAGGGGAGAGGGTAAACACAACGACGTGAATCTCTCACTAACGCTCGAAAAGTTGAGAGAAAAGTGAAAAGAGCTTTGACAGACTTTCAAACGAACAAGGGCGATCGTAGAGGCAGCGAAAATTTTTCCAAATTTCTTTTCGACGGACGAACACATCTTGGAGTTCGCGTTCGCCATCGGCTTGTCATATACCGCTACGGTTCACGATCCCGAAAGGGCGTAACGTAGGAGTGTCCGGAAGGCACGAATTGCGGTATCAAAAGACGCGACCAGCCCGCAATGGGCTTCGATATACCTCGTTATCTAAGGAGGAAACGGCTGTAGGAGAAGCCGTGCACCGGTCTGGGTGGAGTCTCCTGCGGCGTTGTACCGCCTTTGACAAATACTTGGAAACAGGATAGCAGGAGGAAAGCCCGGGAAAGAGCGAGGGTGAATCGCTCGCTAGCAAGCGAGGACAGAGGTGAGATGGCAGTTGCGGATCGCGCGTTAGATTCAACACGCTTCGTGCACGCAGTCGGCGAATTAAAGGTAATTGCTGCAACATTCTCTTTCTCTTCGATGAGCTTCGCAACGCATCCCATATCCAATGGGAAAATTTGCCTTTTTTTTGTGATTTTCAAATGTATTTATATAGATGCGCTCGTGAAATTCATCGAAAAGAAGTGTTACCTCCCCACACAAGAGGAGAATATTTATGAAAACATGCGTGAACAAAATATATTGATAAGATGAATATGTTAATTTAACATTAGATTTGTGTACTTTTTAACATATATTTGTATACTCTCCCATAGCAGCATAAACTTCAAAAGGACGTCCAAAGAACTTCTTATGTCCTAGAACGTTCCCAGGACATCTCTCGAATAAAATGTGCCGTATGGGTTTTAAGATTCCCCATATTAAAGTAAAACAAAATTTCATTAGATCGATTTCAGTACAAAATTTTGTACTGCGTACAAATCATTTTGACATTTTCAACTTCTTCTTAAACATTTTAAAAGTCTTTGAGTTTTCCTTTTTCAATCACTAAGTCTTCAAGACGTGAGATCAGGGAGCACTGGCCCAGAATAAAGCGTTAAGCGTTAAGTCATATTCGAATATAAGAAGAATAAATAAAATACGGAGGAAATAAGGAGAATACGTTTTAAACGTGATCTGCAACGGACGGTAGGAATATTTTTATAAGAAATAAGAATAAGAAATTAACTGATCATAGCAGATTATTCTCTTTATATTCGAATATGACTAGTCAAGTTTCTTATTGTTACTTCTTATGAATGTACTCCTATTGCCCACTGTAGATACTACGCTCAAGTATCGCCGCTGAAAATCCAAGCAGTCTACAAACCAACTATCTGAAAAACAGTACCATCGGAGATCCCCGATATCTCTCGATCCGCTACTGCAAAGACGTGAGTGGAAGACAGTAGGAGCGCGCGCGACCCGCTTTCTCCCACCCAGGGAGTAACGCATATCGAGCCGGCACAGTCTGATCGTTCCCGAACATGTTCCCCTGCGAACGCAAGACTCGAGTGTGACCCGGCCTGGGGACATGGGCACGTCCTCGGCGAAGGTCAACGGACTCTTCTGTGCGATTACACCGCCACGGGACGCGTGGGTGTGCGTACGTGTGCGTACGTCCAACAGCTGGCGACGCGTCATTTTGCCGCGAAACATGACGCATTAGAAATCAGCCACGGAGCCGCGAAAAGAAACACTCCGCCGGCGGAATGGCAGGAGACAATCTGCGTGAAAAGCTCTGTCGAAGTCACGCGTACATCGGCTCATTACCTTTGTATACCTGGAGCGGCCACGTGGGTGACGTGCGCGTCGAACGACCTGATTCTTCAAGGTTTTTCGACGTTGACGTTGAAGCTCGCGATTCAAGCATTCTCTCCTGCGGAATTAACGCGAATGCCGTCACGTACGATGATCGACGGGAACAGAGATTTATTCGGCGCGATTTTACGAGCAACGCTCCGACGAAAGTACAACGATGGCGCACGTGATGCGACAATGCGCCCGCCCATGTCCCTTCGTGAGACGCAAGAACGGAGATTTTATGAAGAAGGCTGAGCAAATTCGGAAAATTTGAAATTCTGTATTTTGAAATTGTGTATTTTTTAAATATTATATATTATAATAAATATTTCTTACATATTTTTCCTCTCAGTGTACGTCTAAACTGTCTTATAATAATATTACGCTTATTATTTTCGCAGATTCCTATATATCCGATATATTTCTATTCATTTCTATAAAATATTTTTAATAGGCTCATATTTTTATTAGGTTCTCAGGGTTTTTGGGGTTGCCGAACCTTCCTCGCTGGTAATCCGAAATATTCTGCGACGTACTGTCATCGCTATCATTCCACAAGTGGGACGCGAAATTAACGATATATAATCAACGCTGCATGAAATATATCCTTACCTTCCGTCTTTTCCAGAGTTGAGAGCCACGAACGAAACAATCTCGCGTACTCGTCATCGTCGTGAGCCTTCCTGATACGTCACTGGGCGCGCGCGCCAACGCGCGGTTCATGTTTCCCTGCTATGTTGCGCGGCAGCTCGACATCTTGCGGTCCGTGCGGATTCCTTGCCGCACGACGACGAAGCGATCGCGACGAATCGCGGGAACGAGTCTGTTCTACGAACGAATGCGCGGCGTGCGTTCGAAGCTGTAACGAAACGGAAGGGAAAACGATTATTCGTCGCTACGAATGCGGGGCATTCGTCGCGCGCGTTCTTTCCCAATTAATATCCGCCTGAACCTTTCGCGCTCGGAGCCAAATTAATTGAACACACGCGGGCGAGAAGTGAGGAGATGCGAGCGAAAGATCGAGGGGAACTACTTTTAGAGCGCGGTTCGAGAAACGGACGTCCGGTTGGTGCCGCGTGATGCGTCGAATCCAACTCGGTCGATCAAGAGTGAATCGAACCGGCGAATTTTCGAAAAGATTCTACGTGGCTCGATGCGCACAAAAATACACTCAAAAGACGCTACTTTCGTGAAAGGACTATTGGAAAAGATTTCCTGTGCATCCACCTACACTTTTCCCCTCCCCTCAAACGGCCGACCATGATATCGATAAAATCGCGAGAAAGAAAATATCGAAGCACACGGGGAGACTTTATCGCTCCTGATTCATATTCGGTCGTCGATTCTTTCTTCCTCACCTCACGTCGCCATCTTTGGTTATCAGTCGACCCGCCATTTGATAATCCTGTTGGCGCTTTCGGAGAGTCGCGAGAATCGGCCGATTTGCCGGCCCCAGGCCCTTCATCGCGGTTTCTTCGCTCGATATTGAAGAATGGTACCGCTCGGATTTCGGGGGAACGAGGGAGCGGCGGGAAAACGAGGGTGGAATAGAGAAATCGCGATTAATGGACGTGCACCCGCGTTACCGCCGTTGCGTGCGAAACGTTCGCGCCGGCGACTGCCGCGCCCTCGCTCGGCTTCGTGCTTCGGCGCGGCACGTGACCGCGGGCGTCCAGTGCGCAGGGACGGCCGTGCACGGTGGATGTCGACGTCGCGGTGTTATGACAGCGAGGGTCCTCATGTGACGGTCGAGGAACGCGGATAATCCCGACGCGATGACGGTGTGAAACGACTACGAGCGTTACCGACGTCGAGCTCTTCACGCAACCACTCTTTCGTTAGCACGTCGCAGCGAAATGCCGGACAAGGAGGAGGAGAACTTTTGCGAGAAAATGGCAAAAGCCACCAGAGGGATACACGCGATCAGCGATGCCCTGGTGAACGCGAAACTAGCATTCGGTAAGATCGTATCGCCCCGGGAGTCCACCGGGAGTATCGTCGTGGATCGTCCTCGACGTTTCCCCCGGATCTCGGCACTCGAGTTGCGCAATCGATCGCGCAGTTGATTCATCCGATAAAACTCACGTCTCATGTAAATACTGTTGCATCACGAGGGCAAACAGAGGTTCTCCCGTGTGGCGAAAAGCCGAATATCTATTTATATTTGTCGCGTAGCTACAACGCCAGGCTTTGCGTCGTGTGAACCTGCGTCTTTGTGTACTTTCCGATCAGGCTTCCTCGATGATTCCGTATGGGCCGACGGGCTTCTGGTTTTCTACGAGGTGTTTCGCTACTTGGAGGGTGCGATGATCAGATTAAAGAACACCAAAATTGGATTGCTGCCGCTCGGCGAGCTTCAACGCACCGAAGCCTTCGAGCGAGATCTTGATCACTACTTGGGAAAGGAGTGGAGGAAGAATTACAGTCCTAGGTACATATAGGAGCATATGTAGCAACAAGTGACGTCGCTTTATACTTTCCTTTATATATACTTGACACAATTCAAGTGAGCACCCATACACACACACGCACCGAGCACGACAGTTTAATCGTGTGAAAGATAAATTTATTAGGACGAGGAAATTTCACCGAGTCTTTCTGATTTGTAAAAAAAGTATTGCAAATTGCAGAGACAGCGTCGCCAAGTATCTGATGCGTCTCAGAGAAGTGGAGGATACGGATCCCACTCTACTGATGGCGTATATCTATCATCTTTACATGGGCCTCCTCAGCGGCGGTATGATCCTGCGGAAAAAAAGGCAGCTCATGCAGAAGGTCTCGCTTTTCAAAGCGTCACCGTCGAGCGGCAACAACGTCACGAGCTTCGGGCAAAACAGTATATTTCTGTTGAAGCGCGACCTGCGCGAATCGATGAACAGAATCGCGGAGACGTTGGACGAGGACACGAAAAATAAACTTATCGAAGAAAGCAAAATAGTCTTTGAATTGAATAACGAAATAGTCAAGAGCGTGCAGACGGGCGCTCGCGTCCTCGAGAAGATCTTCTACTTTGTCGGCCAGGTTGTGCTGGTCCTCTTTGTTCTGGTGATCGTCGTCAATATGATCCTCAAGTACATTATACGTTAATAAAATGTTAATTTGATTTGAACCGCCAACTTGTCGAATAATAACAATAGCAGGCTTCTTCCGTTAGACGGGAGAGCGCTGATATCAAAACCAAAATATAAGACGTTATTTATGCGCTGTGTAATCGTCTTTTTATAGTTATAAACAGATCATTACCATTACTTGCGTGAGTTTCCGAGGTAACCCGTTTTTCCGAAGCTTGTCGCGAGTACTGAGATTATTGAGATTCGATTATCGGAGAAATCCCATTTCTCGAGTCTACAATCCGCGACAAATCTGTCCCTCTCGTCACAATAGACAACAATACTGTAGCCGGATTTATTTCTATTACGTTCGCTTCTACGTTCACGTCCAGTTTCAGTAATCCATTCTTCCGAGCAGCTCTATATATATATATAGGGAGAGACTATATACCTACATAGAGACAATCGAGAATCGCCCGTCTATTGAATTTAAAACTGTCCCAAGTTTTCGAGCGAAATTCGGCGGGATAGCCCTGAACGTCCACATTTTTCGTTATGAATGGCGAACAGTTGCGTTCCAAATCTAAAGGCGGCGGCGGAATAGTCTTAAAGTCCTTTTGTAATTTGCGAGCGGCTTCACCGAACAGCAGCGACTTGATATTTCCCTCCGGCAGGCTTTTCTTGCGAGGACCTGAAGATTTGTTTCTGTATAACGCTATCAAATTGTTATTCAATAACATATACTAAGAGAGAGAGAGAGAGAGAGAGAGTGTGTGCGCGCGCGCGTGTGTGTGTGTGTGTGTGCAACTTACGATATAAATTTTAAACGGAATCTTAAGTTTAATAGAGGAGGAGAAAAGGAGGTTGAAACTTAGATTGTAAGTATTAAGTACAAAGTACCTTTCGCTTCTTTCTCCGACGATTGCATCTTGTAACTGAAATCCGTACACTTGATCGATTGAATCGCAGGGTCGTTTAAGAATGCGCAGGGCTGCTGCTGAGGGCTGTCTATTAACTGTTTCGCGAGAACCAAGGGCGATTGATCCTCGTCGTGATCGCCGAATAGATTCCTCTTCAGCGCAGCCTTCGACGGAGTATTCTTATTATCGTGCATACCTCGACGACTACGAGCCGGAGAGGTGTTCGACTGACGATTGTTTTTAAACTCTTTAAAATCTGGAATTTCATTCTGTAAGTGCCATACCGGAACGTACGTGAGAATTAGTTTATACTGCGGCGTAACAAGATGAGAAATAAAGTTGCAAAAGATGATTTCGCCTTTACCTGTACCGGGTGGGGGAACAATTGCTGTTGCCGTTTACTCTTCGAAACCGACGTCTCGACATCTCCCAGGGACTTATGCCTGTGTCTTCGGGTGGTCGTGACGTTTCTTTCACGTTGCTGCTTCTCTTGAATCCATCGCTTCATTCGTCTGAACAAAACAGCAGCGTTAATACATATGTATCATAAGTTCTTTACTATGTTGACTGCAATGTTTTAACACTTCCTATTGGCTGTATATTTAATTTATTATATATTATGTATAATTACATTTTATTATAACATAAGTCAGTGAGATGCAGTAATCAACATATTAATATTCGTAGCATGAATTGATATTCACATGTAAATATTATAAACACTTAATCTAAACTATCCGTGTAGATACTTACTTGACGAAAGGCACCACCATAAAAAATGCATTGGGTCCAACACCGATCTTTACTTTAGGGGTCATATCCTTTTTGTTATTCGGTAAGTCCGCAACATCAAACCACTCGACATTCTTGATCTCTTTTCGCGTTTTCGGCTGAAACTTGGTGTCCTGTTGCACACCAGAGATTATGTACAACCTCACCACTTGATCGTTTATTATAGATTCAATATATTCGTTCTTATCGATCAGGTTAGATATATCGAAGCCGGTCTCTTCCAAAACTTCTCGTACGGCGCAATGCAAAGGTTCCTCGTCCTCATTCACTTTTCCTTTGGGAAAACTCCAGCTATTCCTTGCCCAGTAGCTTTGAACCAGAAGCACCTTGGTCATATCTTCGTTTAACACAATTGCACCAAATGTCGGTACATTCTGCTTGTATTCCCTCCATTGTTCGAGTACAGCATCAATGTGTGACACATGTGGTATTAAAAAAGGTATATGCTGGAATATGTGAGTAGCAAAATCTTTCATGTTACACGGCTTCAGCTTGGGATTCTCTTCGGTGCAGTAGAAGTCCAAGTAAAACCAGTGCGCTAATTCAATTTGAAAGCATATTCGTACCAAGTCTTTCCTTTCTTCCTCAGGCACATTGATAATAAATCGACTGCAAGAGGGAATATGATGAGAATAAATCAATCATTCAGGAGTGATATATCAAACTTAAGTGTTTATATTACTATTGTTATTATACAAGATATATTACAAGAGAGGAATTCTATAGAGAAACTAACCTGCTGAGGTCATCGAGGATGTCGGACGGAATTGTATGCTCCATTATTTTATTCGCCACTTTCTTTGATACTTAATATATAATGTTGCATACTGTAATGATAATGTAATAGGATAATCAGTAAAAAATAGATCTCAGATATAGACGCAAAATTAAAAACACAAAATCCATCATTCAACATTGAATGATTGCATGAAAATGTAATTATAATTTTTGAAAATAGTAAACACAAAATATATAATAGTAAAAAGTATGACGAATAATAATAATTTAACGTTACCATCCCATTTTAAGACAGCAATAAATAATTACTTACACCAGATGATAATAAAAACATTTATTAAACAGCACAAATATATTTTTCTACATTTGGTACGAACGACAAATGGAAGAAAAATGTAAAATTCAAAAGATGAATATTAAAAAATAGCTATGTAAAATTGTAAGTAGAAATTAAGCTCAAACGTTAGAAACTGCGTTATTTAATTGTAACCTATCACCCAACCTAACCTATAGCACCGGTATTGATGTCAGTCTGATGTTTGTCCGATGAAACGTCATTGGATTCTGTTTTTATTGAAGGATCAGTTAATTTTCCATGATTTCAAATTGGAAATATATCACATATGTGTTGTAATTTTTTAATTCGTCATTTTATTTATTCTATCATATTATTCAATCTTATTTACTGAAAACTGTTCTTAAAAATTAAAGTCCGATCTATTGTTGAGCCTTACTACGATCTTGATTTCTTGTTAAGGTATGTACAAAAGATAGGATATTAACAAATGTTGATAAGATAAAGTAAATATAGACTAAACCTTAACTTGTAATTATTGTAAACTATTGTGAATTTTAAAGATTACAGATTAAAGATTAAAACTTGATGGAACTTCTTTGTTTCAATGTCGAATGACTCGGTTAAAGAAAAAATCGTTTTGCAATTTGTAAATACACAATTTAAAGCAGAAAATTCGCACTTAACATAACATAAATTATATAAACATTATTTATGTGTGACTTTTCGTTTAGAAGGGCAACTTAATAAATAAAATTAAAAATTTGATATATTTTTACATCTGATGGATTGCTTTTTATGTTTAGATAGATATGACGTAACATAAGTGTACATAATTACATTTACAGTATACATAATTATATTTATTTATTTATCGAGTTGTTATTAATTATATATGTGTATATATGTTATAGCCGATGTTGTAATGTATCTAGTTACATATATCTATTAGAGTTGCGTTCGGGAATCTATACTGTGTGTGCACATCACTAAACACCAGCTGTTCTGAAACATTCAGACTATATTTGAAAACATCATTCTTTAGTGTGCTTTTTAGATTTGGGCAATACAGTATCGATACATGGATTTCCCTATGTATTTTTCCGCAATTTGTGGAGGAAAACCTTATTTTTCCGGGGGAAAACCCTATGTATCGGTACAATATCAATACATAGGGAAATAGAGTTTTCCTCCACAAATCGCGATTCTGGGAGAAATCCTTATTTCCCTATGTATCGATACCGTATCGCCCAATTCGATTTCCGAACGGCTAGTGTGCTAGCAATTTACACACACACAATGTGGATTCCTGAATGCAACGTTGATCATGTAACGTAATTCGCGCATGCGCTCCGAGATATCCGATGAGGTCGAAATTTGTCCCTCTATTTCCAATCTACTATCTGCCGACCGAAGTAGTGGGAAATTTCTCCGCATCTGGTATTTCTGTCGGAGGTGGTGGCGTCGTGAGAACATGACGAACATTGAAGTGCATCCGAGCGTATCTCGTGCCTCGATACCCGATTCAAATTATTCCGAATCGCAATCGTTCGCTGAGTCATCGCGATGAAGCGCGCGATTTGGCGTAGCGTTGAAACGAAATGTGATCTATAAGATGGTTCTCTTCCTCGATGTTCGGCTGTTGGTAAGCCTCTTTCGTTCCTCACCGCAATGTCGAATTCTCTCGCGTTTATTTTTCACTCGGTAAATCCTGCGGGCAGGATACGTTTGATCGATTCTTGAAGACTCCGATTCGTGCATTATTGCGCGCGGAGGTTGGAACGCGTGTATTTGGAAAATATGTTCATTGCGTAGAAAAACTTCATTGTATCTTTAAATTTTGTACGGTGCTTCGCTGTATTGAGGTTATGACTTCTGTCAAAGTGGCATACGTATATTTGGCGTCTTCTCATCTACCGATTGTGATATACGTGTGTGACAATGATGTAGCGAATTTTATCTCGTCCATTTATAATGCGCGCCGTACAGTATCGTATTTGACTCTAATGACTGGCATATTCATCACGATTCTACTTGTATATAATCATGAAGAGAATTTTTTTGTATCAAAACACCGTCGAAACACTGTTTACAGTTATTTTCGAACTCGGAAAATGTTGCATCATACATACACAAAACTGTATCATAATGCATATTTTTCTAAAAGAATCAAAGTGTCGCTGGAAGAATTAAAAAGTTATCAATGTTCTCGTGAGCAAAATTAAAACTATCTTCGATTGTAAGAGGTAGGAATATATAGGTATGGGAAATCTTTAATTACTGAAGTGAGCTGTAACAGAGTTGTTTTATTTCGAGAATTCGCAACGCATTCAACGTACAATTAGAAAATAAGATAACCAGTAAATTAAAACATTTATTTTGAAATGTGCTCCTGATATTGTGACAAAATTAATCTCGTGGGATGAAAGTGTACGTGAGCTAAACACAACTAATTTAGAATATACTAATTTGTTGCAATAATGACAGTGACAGATATTTCATAACCTTAAGATAATAAAAAGTAATAATAATGCTCCGATGTGATATTTAAAATGCTAATACATTTAAAGTGTCGAGAAAGGATAAATTTCCGGTGAATCCTGATTTTATTACACAATTACATGTAAATAATAAGTGATGTAATGTAAAATTTTGCACTTAAGATATAATTTTTTCGATAAATTATGTGAAGTAATATTGATTTTTGTTTATTATACCAGGATTGAAGTTTTAGTATTATTCCACCTGGAATTTTGCTTCCATATATGACACTAAGGCGTGCGTAACAACGTGTCTTCCTTGAACTGTCTGGTAATATTGTTAATAAAATGGAGACTTCAATGCGGGAAAAGATACTCAGCTTTGCAGATGTTATAATGAGAGTGCCGCCTTTGTTTATCATCGATGAGATACTTAGAATCAATTTGGGTTTATCCAATAATAACATCGTCCTGGATACTCCTGAGAATGGTTTCAAAACTACTAATATACCAGGCACAATTGTCAGTTCCATTTCCTCGGTTACAACGGACTCGTTCCTGATGGAACAGTTTAACCTGAGTCATTTTGCTTACAAGGCATATTTGATAATCGTATTTAAATTTTTATGCTGTTGTCTAGGTGAGTAGAAGTTCCCTCCTATGATTCCTTTGTAGCAGGTTTTATACAAGTCGGATATTTACAACAAAAGAATCTTAACACATTTCATGCCAGACTAATTTTACGCGACTTCTCATAGATAAGTGATCCATTCTGTTCTGTGAGCCAAATTTGATTCGTTTAATAACATGTGTCTCAATAATCATCCAAGTATTTCATGATTACATGATTTTGTTTTGGATTCAAAATATCAAAGTGACTTAAGTGGAATTGAATTAAATCTGGCCTGAATGTAAAGTTTAGCGCACATCAATGATACACGCAGCACAGAACATATTGATCATTAAATTTTGCAGTTGACAGTTATGTAACGGAATTAATGTGGATGGGTCACTGTTTTTGAAAGGAGGAGCAATCTATTTTTAATGACGAACACATGACATCTCTCTCGGAAATTAATGAAACTTGAAGTGTATAAGACAAAAAATATAAACCTGTCAGTGTAATTTGATCTCGGCTTCTGTCTGGCTGATAAAAACATATCAGATAAAATTATTACTATTTTATACTTGCTTCATCCACTTTGCTATGATCTTACACACAATTACTTGTATTTTATATATAATACGATTTTTATACAAATTAAATATTGATATTTTAGATAAACATTGCTTTTTTATTAATATCTTAAATCGAAAATCAATATTACTATCTAACTTGATACTAAACGTATATCTTGAGAGAAAAAATGACAGATGCAGAGATGTTGCACATGTGTTATCTAGATGTGAAATATTCATTTATTTATTTTCGAAACAATGTTTCACTCGCGAAACAATGTCTGTATTTCACAAAATTCAATGTCCAATGAAATCAGTCCTCGTATCGTAGAATCTTCCTTCGCAACATTATTAATTTTCTTTCAGGATTCATCGCAGCCTTATGTACATTTATGCTATGGACTAAACAATTGATAATTGTATACCTATACCTAATATCAGTAAGCGTGATATTTATATCGTATTGGTCAAACGTCAGTACAATGAAAGCGATTATAGCTTATATAAGCGTCCATGAGCCCACAACCAGCATTCTCGACAATATATTGAGCCTGAACTTGTCGCATGTTCTATACAACGGCCCAGGCTTCCTGATCATTCAGAACTATATATTGCAATGCCTGCTGGCCAGCATCTTTTGTTACATACATCTCGCTCCGAAGCATTCTGTCGTCCAAAAGCTTCTTGTGCTGAGCTTTATGGCACCATCCATTTTGGGCATACATCCCTTACCGGTAAGCTCGTGAAATATACAATAAATTCCGTAACTACCAAGTGTAGACTGTACTTCGTTGTCATTACCTCGCTCTTCAACACCGCTGCCAAGCTTGGGTATCTCTCAAGCCGCCATAGGTGCCAATTTGGCTCCTATTCTTATTTTCAGTTACTGAAGAGTTATTTTTACATTTGCATTATTCGAGATTATGTTCACCTGAAGTGACAAAAAGTCGGGAGAAACCGATATAAAAATTTATGGGATCTGTAGCAACTTGAAAGATCGGTGGAGTCAAGATCGGCACCGTCGGCGGTTCTAGTGGTTAGCGAGAAGTCAGATAGAGGTTACATCAGTGAGGGAAAACGGCGCTCTTCGTTCGCTTGACGTAATGCAAAATATGTTTCTAGGTACATTATTTGCATCACGCACCGGTGTGCGCGACGCTGATCCCATTGTCCGTGTGCAAATTCGTCATTTGGTACAACGGCATTACGATGTTCAAGACGATCTACACGGGATGCCAGTACGCCCGTAGTTTCATCCTGAACTACGGTTTCTCCGCCCTCACCGAAACCGAGTGGATACGGCTGAACGTGCCGTGCGTGCTCCGTACGTTCTGGATGCTCCGGGTGGCGGAGCAGATCGTGCAGATCCTCGGCAACCACTACAGCGAGGAGACGTTCAACTACTACGTCATGATCAGGACGCTGCTGGTGAACGGCTGCGAGACTCTGACGGCCGTCCTCGGCATGACCAGCATAATCTCGTTCATCTGCCATTACATCGGCTGCTTCTTCCAATGGGTGCTGCTGACGGAGGACGAGGACGAGAAGAGCATCGGCACCGTCTCCGCCATATTGTTCTACATTCTCGCGCTGCAGACCGGACTGACCAACCTCGACCGGGAGAAGCGACTCGTGCGACTCTGCCGCAACTTCTGCCTCCTGTTCACGGCGATCCTCCACTTCGTCCACAACATAGTGAATCCGTTGCTGATGTCGCTCAGTGCCTCTCACAACCCGGTCCTCCACAGGCATCTGCGTGCGTTGGCGGTCTGCGCTTTCCTCATCCTCTTCCCGGTGTCGTTGCTCGTGTTCCTCTGGTCCCACTTCACGGTGAGCACGTGGCTGCTGGCCGTATCGGTCTTCAGCATCGAGGTGATAGTCAAGGTGCTGGTCTCGCTCGCGATATACTCGCTGTTCCTGATCGACGCTTACAGGAGCGCGTTCTGGGAACAATTCGACGACTGCGTGTACATCATCAGGTCGTTCGGCAACACGGTGGAATTCGCCTTCGGCATAATACTGTTCTTCAACGGCTTCTGGATACTGGTGTTCGAGTCGGGCGGCGCGATCCGGGCGATCATGATGTGCATACACGCGTACTTCAACATTTGGTGCGAAGCCAAGGCCGGGTGGAGCGTGTTCATGAAGCGGCGAACAGCTGTGAATAAGATCAACTCGTTGCCAGAGGCGAGCGTCGAGCAACTGCGACGGTTAAACGACGTCTGCGCGATCTGCTACCAGGAGATGGAGAACGCGAAGATCACCCAGTGCAATCATTATTTCCACGGTGTGTGCCTGCGGAAGTGGTTGTACGTTCAGGACCGGTGCCCGCTCTGCCACGATATATTGTACACCGTGGAGAACCCGGCGCAAAGCCGGGAGAACGGCGGTGCCGCGGCCGACGAGAACGGTGCGGAGGAACGCGCGAGGAGGAACGTGCAGGCCGAGCTAAATTTCCACGTTTTCCTGGGCCCGAACAATCCGAGGCATCGTCCGAACGAGGATTGGTGAAAGAGAGAGTGCATGTAGCTTCATTGTGATATAATATAAATGAACGTTATATATATATATATATAAATCGAACACTCGCAACACACGACTTACAAATCGCGAAGCGTCTAGAGGATCGGTGTCTAGAATCTCTCGCTCTCGAAAGTTTTGCTTTTTGTAAATCGCCACCGGACTTTGTTATAAGGAGACCTCGTGACCTGTGTGTGATTTCTTACACACAAACTCGAGCTTCTCGTCCATCTTCTTCGTAAAATCGATGCGAACGAGCTGACGCAATTATATTTTCCAAATTTCTCGAAGTGGAATTTCACTCGAAACCTAGTGAAAAGTGGCGGTATTTTCACCCGAAGCGACAGTGAAAGTACCGCCACTCGCAAACGAAGGAGTGAATGTTTCCTTCGAGCTTAAAGTGGATCTTCATCCCGTACGAGCTAGTGTTTCGATCAATTTGAGTGAATATGCGACGATTGTCAGTGTGCAATAAAGAAGACATTTTTCGCGGATTATTTTAAATTATAATTCAGCTCAATCGACGCTGATTGATAACGTACTTTTGGACCATTATTGTATTATAATCTCCGTATAATACGTAACGAATTCGGCACGAGCTTCCGTGTACATATATATATATATATATATATATGTATTGTGTATGCTTCCGCTCTTTCTTTTTACCGAATTGGCAAGATCTCACTTCACAACATTCTTATTTTATTCCGAGAATTACATCTTACACGGAAGAGGAGAGGTGCTAACTTCGATTTTGTTGCAATAAACGTACTACGCGTATATTTCGTATATTAAGCGCACGAATACAATTCAATATCATTAAGTATAGCGTAAGGATAAAGAAGACTGGAGTAAATCGTTTCTTTTTGAAATTTCGAGTGAGCTGTAGTTTCTGCCTCTGCCAAACTGACTGCAATTTGGCAACCATTACAAATAAGATTCTATATATATTTAACGTTTCATTTTTTTTATAAAAGAAAAGTTCAGGTCATGCAAGATGATTTACCAGCATTAAAATCGAAGAAGATATCGGGTGCGGTATCTCAGACATATTTTAGCGACTGTATGCTCAAAACAGATAAAAGAAACGCATCAAATCGATAATCTACTACATCAATATCTTTTAAGCAGTCTATAATTCGCGACAGATCTCGAGGACTGAGTTCTGTAGGTAGGTAGATGTAGTTTTATGCGCTGTATAAATTTGGAAACGAAATTTGAGAATTTGCACCCATGTATATGTATCGCGAATTATAGGTCGCCTAAAAAGGGCTTTAATTATCGCTATATTTTACGCATGATTCGTGATCATTGATGTCCCGAGCAGATTGCTATTTGAATACAAAATATTTAAGGATATCATATATATAATTAAATCATTTATTTTTATTAATATTGAATAAATTATACATTTATATTTAATAAAATTACTAAAAATTTTATTAAATATAACATTGCAGATACGATAATTTTGATGTACTCTGTATATGAAGATGCTGTATATAATAATGTAATTAGTGTAATAATTGAAAAGACGTTTTCTCTCTCTCTCTCTCTCTCTCTCTCTATATATATATATATATATATATATATATATATATATATATATATATATATATATA